CCTCACCTCTGCTAACCCATTGTGTCTGTGGTGTTGGAGTCTTCTGGAGAATTTTTTAATATAATTATGGCAAACAATATGGCCAGCGTTAGTCAACTGTACTGGCAGACAATCAAAGAAGTATGCTAAGTTTTTTTGGTAGTGAAATTCTAGCATGATTTGTTTTATATGTTAGCACAGACACAGATCTCTGGGGGTATCTTGCTAATGAAGCTAGCTATCGTTTACATTAAGCCCTCCTTTTTATGATATGATGGCTTAAAAAAACCATAATGACACAATCAAAATGTCAGACTCTAGGGTTCAAATAGATAGAATAGATTTATAGATAGAAACTTTCCTTTTATGGTTCAGGCCACATGCAGACCGCTTTGATATTAAGCGAGCCAGACCAGTTAACCTCTTCTTTCTAACCATGTAAAGAAGTTTAAGTGCACATTTAATTCTGAGAAATCTTAATATAAGAAAAAGTGCAATTTCAATAATGCATCTCCATTTTATCAGTTTTACTGGATAAATAAATTATGTTGTAGTAAATTTAAGAAATCAGGATGGATGAAAAGCAAACGGACTCATGAAAATACAGTTCGGATTTTACAAAGCTGTCTAGTTGGTTGGATCGGTGTCTTTCCTCTGCAAATTCTGGCCTCCAGGCCTTATGTTTGACATCCCTGATCTAGAACAACCAACCATTATTGTCATTTCTGGAGTCATGTTGCAAGCCTAACTAAAAAGCATGGTCGGTTAAGGCTTGTATTGTACATACCCACATTAAAAAAGACCTGCAAACAGCACTGCAGCCCCACCCAACAACTGAAGTTAAGCTTTTCCATTTGAAGCATTTATGAGAATATGAAGCCGTTTGAAGTGATACAGAGCTCTCCCCATTTATACGGTGAACACCTTGTGAAGATGTTCAGATGTCATTCAATGTCATTAAAAAGGTATGGCCTACAAACGATGTGCCATGTACTTTCCAGCTCTTCATGGGACTTCCTCGGTTTTGTTTTCACCGCAGGATGGGTGCTGAATTCTCTAAGGTTGGCAGCTGTTGAATCTGTGCAGGTTGCCAATTAAATCCAAGGTTTATATTCTTCATTACAGAGTGTGCAAGAGTGTGTGAGTCTGGGAAGGTGGTGTTGTTCACGACTTGCACTCCTCTGTTTGTTTAGCAGTGTTATCAAAGTGTGTGCATCATGCAGAATGAGTGTGAACTGTATCACTCAACACTTTAAACGAACCTTGCTTAGTCTACGAGGTCTCTGCAAGGACACGGTAATCAGATCTGCGGTGCAGGATATTCTTCCTCCAGTGATATGCCTTCTTTGTCCCCTTTTGACAATAACAGTTGTACATTTGAGCTGAAGTTGCGGTATCACATAAATCAAAACAGTTCACACTAAGTTTGATTCACACATTCCTGGTGGTGTTTTAGGAAGAGGGAGGACCTCAGCTCTGAGTCACTGTGTGTCCGAGTTCATGTTTCATAATCACTGCTGTCAGTCACAAAACCAAAAGGCAAGACATGAGTTGTGTATTTTTATTGAGAGCTACATGGGTTAAAAGACTGCCACTGTGAATGCTACCCAATGGTATGTAGTGTAGCAACTATCTATGAACCAAGAGAACATGACCTTTTTATGTCTATATTCCAACTGCTCCTCTGTGTGCCTTGGGTGGTGCCTGAAGCGAACAATGAAGGATTGTCTTCAAGTCTTTACTTGAGCTGCTATGTTGTCTCACTTCCTTTGGATTGGTTACATCAGCGTTCACGCTGACATGGCTATTTTAGGTCTGAGGTTGGAGCTGCCCTTAAAGAAAAATCACTGAATTTTAGCCACTCTATCGCTCTCCTTTCAAGGTTTAACAAAACACGGGTTGCAAAATCCTGTCTTGGAAACCCAGATGTCCTTCCTCCAACTTTTAGGCTACATTTCCTCATGAGAACCCTTAGTAAACAACCAAGAAAGGATAATATCATTTCAGTTTATAGTGAATGCCACAAAGGAAATCGTTAATGAAGCATGAAAAGAAGAAAAAAAGAATGAATGATGGGATCATGTTGAAGGTGTAGCCTTTTTTTTTTTGCACACTTGAGGCTACACCTTCAACAAGGGCTGGTAGGGCGGCACTCGTTGTAAGGATCATCCTCGCCCAGTGTTTCTATTGTTTGTTAATATGCTCATCATAGTAAGAAGTTTGAGGTTAACCTAATAGGAAGTCTTTTGTATAGAATCCAGGCTTGAATGGAATTCCAGTGGCTGTTTACATTGTTCAGAGAGGATAAGTTTCATTCCTGTATTAATTAGTTTTATTCCTTTGCCGCGTCTCAGCCTCTTAACATCTTTAAAATTACTGTTAGTTGTTTATTTTTATTCAGCGTATATCATCAAAGTAAATATGATTAACTATGATTTTTTTTTTTAATGAATAGGCCTATAATTAGGTACAGCTGAATCTGAAGTCCCATTAGTTCCCATTTTTAACATATTTATAAGCAGGGATGGCTTTATCAGCTAGTGCACCATGAGAAAAAGTAAGACATGGACCCTTAATGGCCACCCTGATGTTTTGTGAATGAAAGAAAACATTAAAAACTGGTCAATTAAATAAGTAAACATTAATCCTAAACCTAAACCACAAACATTTCCTCAAGTGTAATTCATTTGCCAAAAAAGGACTAAACCAATGTCACTGATGGCATGTTCTTCTCATTTTATTTCTACAGTACTTTGCAAAGTGTCCAACCATTTCTTTATATTTTGATTCCCGAGAGATCCATCTCACCCTTTAGCTGATCTATCTACTATTGACCAAAGCCTCATCAGATAAAGTCTCAGTCAAAGGGTGGCTGTCAAAAAGCCAGGAAAACTAGGAGAAAATGGTAAAGTATGTCAAATTATACAAAACTAAACAGAAAATCAGCAGTAACAGATATTATTGACTTATGAATCCAAAGGTCAGGACAGCGCTACAACATGTGAAATCTGAAAATTATATCAGAAAGAAAAAACAAATGTCAAACAAAAGCACCTGAAAACTGATTGAAAATTCACTGACTTATAATGATTTCAATGTACACAGACCTTTCTGCCTACATGGCTGCCATGGAACAAGTCAGAGGCTACTCTGAAGCACAAGCTTTAACTGCAAAGTAACATAGTTAACAAAATGCAGTCTGGTTACAACGGTATTTATACATTGTTTGATTGCAGTTTGCAAAGTACAGGACCCACCCTTGAGGCAAATCACAGTGATGTGGCAACCAGATGCCATAGAAAGTGAATGACATTCAGTGACTACAAGCAACTAACTAACTGCTATGCAAAGTGGGCGGGACCTGAAATAAACTTTTACCAATTTCCAGGCAAGCAATTGACGCAATTGTCAATAAGAGCGCTGGATACTGTTAACTGATATATTGCCTTAGAAGGCCTTGGACCAGAGCCTGGAATGTATGCAAGAAACCAGCCCTCGACATCAAAGCAAATCGCTTGCAGCGTGGATGGAGCTTTAGGGAATGATAACCAATACATCTAGCACATCGTGTTGAAATGGTCACTTCCAGGCTCCAGTTGCTTAGATGACCCTCTATTTACTACCAGGTCATATCTCAGTCAACTACAGTATGTTCTTCACTCCTCATTGGTAGCTACAGTCACTCGCCTGAATGTTGAGTTTATCCCAGATACCACTCGCTTTGCCCAGCCTGCATTTTTTTTTTCACCTCTATTTGCTTGAAGTCGCTTGAACTGATTCATTTTTTTTTTCACTTGTTGCCATGTCAGTGCAATTTCCTTTCAGAGTGTGCGTGGGTACGTGAGTGTACCTACAATTAAAGCTAATAGCTTTTATTACGTGTAATTAAACATTTTATAGATGGAATTAAAT